GTCAATGTATTACATGGGATGGGCTCTTATTCCTATGAGCCTAGAAAATTGTCTTTGGATCTTGAAAACCGGAAAACTCCACCAACAAAACCATCAATTGAGGAGCCACCGGTGTTGGAGTTGAAACCACTTCCTCCACACCTCAGCTATGAATTCTTGGGCTCTAATTCAACTTTACCAGTTATTCTTTCTTCTTGCCTTACTAACATGCAGATTGAGGCCACTTTAGCGGTGCTTCAAAGGCGAAAAAGGCAATTGGATGGACTCTGGCGGACATTCAGGGAATAAGCCCCGCATTTTTCATGCATAAAATTATCTTGGAGGATGACGCAAGGCCTTCCTTAGAACATCAAAGGAGGCTCAATGAGGCAATGCAAGAGGTGGTGAAGAAGGAAGTGATCAAGTGGCTTGATGCGGGTGTGGTGTATCAAATCTCCAATAGCTCATGGACTTCTCCGGTGCAATGTGTGCCGAAGAAAGGTGGGATGACTGTGGTGACAAATGACAACAATGAGCTTATTCCCACTCGAACCATTACCGGGTGGAGAGTCTGCATGGACGACCGGAAGCTAAATAAACTGACCCGCAAGGATCATTTTCCCATGCCATTCCTCGATCAAATGCTTGATCGCCTTGCGGGGCGAGCTTTCTATTGCTTTTTGGATGGGTATTCGGGATATAATCAAATCTTAATTGCCCCGGAGGACCAAGAGAAGACCACATTTACATGCCCATATGGTACATTTGCTTTCTCCCGGATGCCATTTGGGTTGTGCAATGCTCCGGCGACCTTCCAACGTTGCATGATGGCTATTTTTACCGATATGGTGGAAGACATATTGGAGGTCTTTATGGATGATTTTAGTGTGGTTGGTGATTCCTTTGAAGAGTGTTTGGAAAATTTGGATAGAGTCTTGGCCCGATGTGAAGAAACTAATCTCGTTCTCTATTGGGAAAAATGCCATTTTATGGTTGAAGAAGGTATAGTGTTGGGTCACAAGATTTCTAATCATGGGATTGAGGTAGACAAGTCTAAAATCGAGGTGATTTCGAGGCTTCCTCCCCCCACTTCTGTCAAAGGGGTGAGGAGTTTCCTTGGGCATGCCGGGTTCTACCGGCGGTTTATCAAAGATTTCTAGAAGGTTGTCAATCCCCTTTGCAAGTTGCTAGAAAAAGATGCTAAGTTTGTGTTTGATGAAAAATGCATGGAGGCCTTTGAACTTCTAAAGCACAAGTTGACCACCACCCCGATCATTACCGCACCCAATTGGAGTTTGCCTTTCGAGCTCATGTGCGATGCAAGTGATGTTGCAGTTGGGCAGTTTTGGGTCACAGAGTGAACAAAATGTTTCATCCCGTGTACTATGCAAGAAAGACTGTGAATGATGCTCAACGGAACTACACAGTGACGGAGAAGGAATTGTTGGCTATTGTGTTCTCCCTGGAAAAATTTAGGCCATATCTTATGGGGGCCAAGGTAATTGTGCACACCGACCATGCCGCCCTTAGGTATTTGATGACCAAGAAAGATTCCAAGGCAAGATTGATGAGATGGGTATTACTTCTTCAAGAGTTTGATTTAGAAATAGTGGACCGGAAAGGTAGTGAAAACCAAGTTGCGGATCATTTGTCCCGCTTGGAGGAGGAAGGAAGGCCGTGTGATGGCTTGGAGATCAATGATACATTCCCCGATGAGCAACTACTTTCTATGTCAATGTGTGGTTTGCCATGGTTTGCGGATATTGCTAATTTCATTGTGACTGGCATCATCCCGTGTGAGCTCTCTTCTAACCAAAGGAAGAAGCTCAAACGGGATAGTTTGGATTTCTACTGGGATGATCCGTACTTGTTTAAGATTTGCACGGATGGTGTGATTCGAAGGTGTGTCCCGGAGGGAGAGCAATTGAGTATTTTGGAGGCTTGTCATTCATCCCCCTATGGTGGCCATCATGGAGGGGTGAGAACGGCTTCGAAAGTTTTGAGTTGTGGTTTTTATTGGCCAACCTTGTTCAAAGATGCAAGTGATTTAGTGAAAAGATCTGATCAATGTCACCGAGCAGGCGGGATTTCCAAGAAAGATGAGATGCCTCTAAACACAATTCTTGAAGTTGATATCTTTGATGTATGGGGTATCGATTTTATGGGCCCTTTTGTTAGCTCGTGTGGTAACACTTACATTCTTGTAGAGGTTGATTATGTGTCAAAAAGGGTTGAGGCCATGGCCTTGCCCAACAATGAAGCTAGGAGTGTGGTGGCATTTCTAAAGAAGAGCATTTTCACAAGGTTTGGTACATCGCGGGCAATCATTAGTGATGGAGGATCGCATTTTTGTAATAGAGCTTTTGATGCTTTGCTTTCTAAGTATGGTGTCAACCACAAAGTCTCTACACCTTATCATCCTCAAGAAAGTGGCCACGTTGAGGTGTCTATCAGGGAGATCAAGAGCATTTTATCTGAAACTATCAATGCTAATAGGACCGATTGGTCTAAAAAGTTAGATGATGCTCTATGGGTTTACCGGACTGCTTACAAGACGCCAATTGGTATGTCACCGTATCGGTTGGTTTTTGGGGAAGCATGTCATCTACCAGTGGAGTTGGAGCATAAGGCTATGTGGGCCTTGAGGAAGCTTAATCTTGAGTGGGATGTTGCGGCTAATCTTCGTGTTGAACAACTTAATGAACTTGATGAATTCCGTTTCCATGCATACTCTAGTTCGTCCTTGTATAAGGACAAGATGAAGTACCTTCATGACAAATATGCTCGTGGAAAGGAGTTCAAAGTTGGTGATTTGGTCCTCTTGTTCAATTCTTGTCTAAGGTTGTTTCCGGGAAAGCTGAAATCCAAGTGGAGTGGGCCATTTGATGTTGTGTGTGTGACCCCGTTTGGTGCTCTAGATTTGAAGAACAAAAGTGGTGAAGTCTTTAGGGTGAATGGGCGCCGTGTCAAGCATTATCTTGGGAAGTTTGATGATAGATGTGGTGGTTGTTGTTCATTTCAAATGATGTGATGGTAAGCCGCGTCGTGTCGCGACGTTAAATCAGGCGCTTCTTGGGAGGCAACCCATGTGTTTTTTTTTTTTTTTCTTTGATTTTCTTGGTAGTTAGTATTTATTTTTGGGCTAATTGGTTGTGAGATGTTGGAGGGATTGAGTTGATGCAGTGCAGGGCATAATCAAAAGTGCTAAGTCTCTGAAGTTTCCAGTGCGGCCGCACGGCCATTTTGTGCGGTCCGCACTGGTGTAAGTAAGAAATGATGACTCTCTGAAGTTTGCCACCGCGGACGCATGGCATTTTGTGCGGACCACCGTGGACCTCTGCGGCCGCGGTCAGTTTTGCGCGGACCGCAGAGGTTGCCTCCTCAGACTTCTGCTGAACAAACCCAGCGCGGTCCGCGGTCCGTTTTGTGCGGCCGCGGTGGTAGGTAAGGCTGGGTCCCACTGTTTCTCTATAAATAGACCTCAAGGGTCTCCTTTTACCCTTTTCGAACCCTAAACTCTCAGAGCTCTTTTTTACTATTCATCCGCTCTTTTAACCGTAACTCTTGCTTAGTGTGATTACTTGCACTCCATCTTCACATCTAGTAACATTTTATTCATTTTTCTTTTTTTAATTTTATATTCATGTCCAGTAGCCCATAGCTTCTTCTTCTTCCTATTTTTATGAATTTTTTAGATTAGGTTAGTGTAATTGTTGGATTTTGTGTGTTTCGTGAACTTATTAAACTAGGTAAATTGAGTAGGGACAAGGTAGGTAAACAAATTGAACAAAATTGCAACAATTCTGAAACCCTAACTCAGTGCCTTAAATTAGCACCCCTCGCGGACCGCAGTCACTTTTGTGCGGTCCGCGGTGCTTATGTTCTGAATGTTGACTTGTGCCAGCACGGCCGCATTGCACTTTATATGGTCCGCGCTGACCCACCGCGGCCGCGATACCATTTTGTGCGGGCTGCGGTGGTGAGATTCAGAGAGCTAAGTTTGGGGGCTCTAAACCTGTGCGGACCGCGGTCATTTCTGTGCGGTCCGCGGTGGCTTCAGTGCGGCCGCACTGCCATTTTGTACGGTCCGCACTGGCCAGTTCCTGCAACTGTGTCTGCAACTGTCTGCTTCTGTTCTGTAATTCATTTTCCACAACTGATTCACTGCCTCTACTGATACTAACATAGCTAGATGTGTGTGTTTGCAGACAATGGTTAGACAACAAGGAGGCAAAGGAACAAAACAACCCGGGAGAGGTGATTCCTCCCGAGGGGGCAAAGGAAAGAGAGTAGTCAAACTCACTCCCCAAGCTTGGAAAAACATAAAACAAACCCACAAGCTGATAAAAGCCGCAGATAGAGCTGCTTCCCATTCCTCGGGGAGTGAGTATCTCCCCTCTCAAGACATCTCCTCAGACACAATCCCAACTCAGATAGTCACCAACCTCCAATTGACTGATGATACCCCACCTCCATCACCCACTATTCGGAGGCCAGTTAATGTCATTTCTGATTCAACTGAAGGGTCGGAAGCAGGTAGTGGAGACGACTCCACCTCCCCCACAGCTTCATTATCTGGGGAGAGTGCAGGCGGAGATGAGGAGGAGGTACAGGGTGCTGAAGGTGGTGAGCCTCAGGTTGGAGGCGTTGCTCTAACTAGAAAACCTGAGGAGTGGGAGGATAGATTTGTGAGCCAAGTTGCATATCATAAGTTTAGGTAGTGGTGGCCGGTGAGACATTTGATACCGGAGAGGAGCTTTATTGACAAAGACCTACTTCCCCACAACCCTAAAGTGCAGAGGGAATTTAGAACTAGAGTGGGCTGGGAATTCTTTATGGAGAAGTGTATTGATGCAAATGAACATATGGTCAGGGAATTCTATTGTAATGTGGCCCACATCGTCAAGGGTTCCAAAGTGACCAAGGTTCGAAACAAAAAGGTGTTGTTCGACGGGCAGTCTCTAAATGAATATCTGGGCTTCAATGACAAGGACGAGACTCTATATTTGGCAAAGTTAGAGATGGGTGAGGGGGTCCGTTCATGGTTAGCCCAGTACTTGGCAATTTCGGGTACCGATCCTGAGTGGTTGACTGCGGGGGTAAAAATACTAAGGGGGACCTTGAACTTTGAAGCTAAGGGTTGGGAAACCTTCGTTTGCAGCAGGTTGGACCCTACCACACATGACCAGTATCTTCCTATCCATCGGGCTGTGTTGGTTGCATCGATCATGGCGGGATACCCCATCAATATGGGGAATGTGATGTCCTGCATCATCTCTCTTGTGGGTGCGGAAGCTAACCGGAACTACCCTTTCCCCAACACCCTCTCTATGTATTTCTGGGACTTGGAGGTGGAAAAGAAGCCGTATGACGTCAAGGCCAAACCGGTTGCTCCATTTTCATGGAATAGTTTGAGGGGGCCAGACAACCCCAAGGACAAAAACTACAAGCCCCCTGCTTCTGCTCCCACTAGCCAGTCTGAAGAGCCAGTTGTGGTAGAGGCCTCCATTGAGCCTACCTCCACGGTTGCTACCATGCCTCCCGGACCTTCCACTTCTGCTGATTTGCCTCCAGGTCCTTTTACCTCAGCCGGCCCGGAGATTCCATCTTCCCAGGCCCATCCTATCACTGTCCACCGACTGAGCCAGACGCTTAAGAGCCTGAACAACTGGATGTATACAACTTCATCCGAATTGTCTACTTTGACCTCCACCATTGCAACTCAGTCAGCTCCTCAGCCAGTTCAGGTCCCACAATCTATAGAGGATGCCTTGAAGAATATACTTGACAACCAGGAGAAGATCCTCAGTACCCGGACTGATTTGGTAAAGGCAGTGGCTTCACATGGCAAAGCTCAAAAGGAGCTTGCCAAGGAGCACAAGAAGCTGCACAAAACACGGGCTTCCAGGGAGTCCGTGAAGGAGTTGGGGGCGGATGTGGATAGACTGAAGGCAGACCAGCTGCCTTTGGATTTATTGTTTGAGGACCCAGCTCCAGCAGCAGTTCCAGTAGCAGCCCTAGATACAGAGCAGGTACAGAGGCCCCCAAAGAGGAAGAGGACTATCCCGAGAGCAGATGATGCCATCATCCTGTTGGCAGACCCACCGGAGGCCTCCTCCAATCAGCCACAGGATGTACCAGATCCACAGTCGGTCCAGGTCCAGTCCCAGGTCCCAGCAGCTGAGCAGCAAGATATCGGGACCCAGTCTGAGGTTCCCGAGCATACCGAGGACCCAGGAACCGCTCATGTTCCCATGCAGACGGACGAGGCTTAGGGAGTCTTAATATCCTTTCCCTATACTTTTTTATGCTTATTTTTGCTTTAGTTAGCATTGGGGACAATGCCAACTTCTATTTGAGGGGGTGTGCCCTACTTTTTATCCATGGATGACTGTATATATATACTGATTTAGTTTATGTTTTCTTTAGTTTTCATTTGGTCTGTATATAATCTTGCATTTGGTTACTTTTATCGTACTTTTTATCTTCCTTTTGGTCTGTATATAAAGTTACATTATTGTATATATTCATCCCCCGTTGTATATTCATTCCCCGTTTGTACATATTCATTCTATTTTCTATTTTTCATAATTTTTTTTATTTTTAGCTTCTTATATAGGCTCGTAGCTTTTTGTTTTGTTTTGACGCTTTTAATAAGCCTTTGGTTTTCTTAATGCCACGGTTCTTTCCAAAGGTGGAGTATTGTGTGAACCGGGTAGCTTCACTTGGGCCTAACACATTTGCCTTTGATCCCATGGTCAAAGACAAGTGGTTGTGTTTAGGATGGTGAAAATAGCGACCTTGAGACTCTTGTGTTGACCAAACAATCATCATGTGGTTTTCGGAACCATTGTGTGCTCAAATCGTATCTAAGGTTGTTGTGGGCCCCCGACTCGATGTCTTTAGCATCCCCTAGCTTGTGTGGTGAGAAATTGAATTGTGAGTCCAAGTCCCGAGCCAATGGTCTAGAACTTGCCCTGAATGTTTGTTGAGGCTAAATCTTGAGTGAAATTTGACTTGAGAAGTGATTATAGGCTCTCCTTGATCCAAATAACATAGTTGAACAACTTCCATAGCCTACCAATGATATGATCCCTAGTTAGCCCTTTTGAGCCTTAGACCTTTTTCTTTCAAGAACCATGTTACAAGCCTATACCCGTTCTAAAAGATACCCTCTCTTGGCACCCGATCTTTCCTTGAGCACATGGCAAAAGTATAAGTTTGGGGGGAGAGACGAGGAGTGTAACAAAGTGGTAAAAAACCACAAAAGTGAAGAAAAGGAAAGGCAATGAAAAAGAAAGAAAAACAAAAGGATAAAAAGAAAGTACAATGTGAAAAAGAATAAAAAGGGATTCAAGAAAAGCAGTGAAAAAGGAAGAAAGGTGTGGAAAGTTGAAAAGGGAGAAAAGGTTTGAANCACTTCGTGCGGTCCGCACTGGTGAAAGCTAATTGAGGTGCCCTCTGAAGTTTGCCACCACGGCCGCATCCCATTTAGTGCGGTCCGCTGTGGACCTCCGCGGTCGCGGTCTGTTTTATGCTGACCGCGGAGGTTGCCTTCTCAAACTTCTCCTGAATAAACCCAGCGCGGTCCGCGGTCCGTTTTGTGCGGCCGCGTTGGTAGGTAAGGCTGGGTCCCACTGTTTTCTATAAATAGACCCTAGGGGTCACCATTTACCCTTTTCGGACTTTAACACTCTGAAACCTAAAGTTACTGTTCATACTCCCCTTGGCCGTAATTCTTGCTTAAGATTGACTATTTGCATTTCATCTTCACATCAGCTAATATTTCACTCATCCCTTGTCCGTTTAATTGATTAATTTTGTTTTTATTTCATTACCATTAGCCTGTAACTTCTTTTTCTTCCCGTTTTTCTCAATTTTGTTAGCTAGGGTTAGTTAAGTGCTAGTTTCTGGTGTTCTTGATGTGCATAATGACTGGTTACATTGAGTAGGGACACATAAGGTGAAACACTTGAACAAAATTGCAACAACTGAAACCCTAACTCAGTGCCTTAAATTAGCACCCTTCGCTAACTCCACAAGTTTAGGGAATGGTGGCCACTATGAAAGCTGATTCTTGAGAGGGGTTTTATTGAGCGAGACCTTCTTCCCCTACACCCAAATGTGCATAGATAGTTTCACACTCGAGTGGGTTGGGCGCATTTTCGAAATGAGTGAATAAAGGCAAATGAGCACATGGTCAAGGAGTTCTATAGCAATGTGGCCCATATTCTGAAGGCACTAATGTGACCAAAGTGCGGAACAAAAAGGTGGTATTTACTGGGAAGGCACTCAATGGATACTTGGGGTTCGATGAAGAAGATGAGACCTTTTACAATGAAAAGTTGGCAATGGGCGAAGAGGTTTGTCCGTGGTTAGCTTCATACCTGGCAATCCCGGGTACTGTTCCAGAGTGGTTACAAGTAGGGGCCAAAATATTTCGGAAGACCTTCAACTTTGAGGCTAGGGGTGGTTGACTTTTGTGTGCAGTCGGCTTGACCCCACTACCCATGATCAGACTATTCCACTTGCCCGGGCTAATCTTGTTGCATCTATTATGGCGGTCTATCCTATCAACGTGGGCAATGTGACGTCCCATGTCATTTCTACAGTAGGGCTTGAGCATGACCGGAACTATCCTTTTCCCAACACCCTCACTATGTATTTCCGGGACCTAGAGGTGGAGAAGAGACCTTTTGATATCAAGGTCAAACCTGTGGCTCCGTTTTCGTAGTACAGTTTGAAGGGGCCAGACAACCCCAAGGACAAGAATTACAAGCCGCCTACCTCTGCTCCAACTGGCCAGTCTGAAGAGCCGGTTGCGGTAGAGCCCTCCACTGAGCCTGCCTCCACAACCGTTGAGTTGCCTCCGGGACCTTCCACCACTGCTGGTCCGGGAATTCCGTCTTCCTGGGCCCATCCTATCACTGCCCACCAGCTGAGCCAGGCACTTTATAGCTTGAACAACTGGACGTGAGCTGCGTCATCCAAGTTGTCTACACTGTCTTCGACCATTGCGGCTCAGTCAGCACCACAGCCAGCACAGATTCGACAGTCCATTGAGGACACATTGAAAAAGATCCTGGAGAACCAGGAAAAGATCATCAGGACTCAGGATGCCTCGTCTAAGGCAGTGGATTCACACAGCAAGGCTCTGAAGGAGCTTGCTAGGGAGCACAAGAAATTGCGGAAAACACGAGCTTCTAAGGAGTCTGTGAAGGAGCTTAGAGCAGATGTGGACAAGCTGAATGCTGACTCATTGCCTTTAGACTTGCTGTTTGGGGATCCAGCTCCGGCAGCAGTACTAGCAGCAGAGCCACAGCAAGAGCAGACACAGAGGCTTCCCAGGAAGAAGAGGAAGCTTCCCAGTGCAAATGAAGCAATCATCCAGTTGGCAGACCCACCGGAGGCCTCCTCCAGTTAGCCACAGGATGCCCTGATATTCAGCCTATCCAGGTCCAGGCCCCAGTCCCAGCAGCTGAGCAGCAGGAGATCGGGAACCAGTCTGAGGTTCCCGCGCATACAGAGGACCCGGGGACCATTCATGATCCCATGCAGATGGACACGTCTTAGGGAGTCATCTATATCCTTTTTCTCTCTTTTTGATGCTTATATAGACTAGTTGGCATTGGGGACAATGCTAGCTTTTATTCGAGGGGGTGCGCCCTTCATTTTTGAATGACTGTAAATATTGATACTATTTTATGCTTTCTTGATTTTCATTTGGTCTGTATATAACTTTACATTTAGTTACTTTTATCGTGCTTTTTATCTTCCTTTTGGTCTGTATATAAAGTTACATTATTGTATATATTCATCCCCCGTTGTATATTCATTCCCCGTTTGTACATATTCATTCTATTTTCTATTTTTTGTAAAAAAAATTCATTTGGTAAATTTTTCGTTTTTAGCTTCTTATATAGGCTCGTAGCTTTTTGTTTTGTTTTGACGCTTTTAATAAGCCTTTGGTTTTCTTAATGCCACGGTTCTTTCCAAAGGTTGAGTATTGTGTGAACCGGGTGGCTCTTCCCAATGATAGATGACGTGACAACCTTCTTAAGGGTTTGAGTCCATTTTTTGTTTTTGTTTTCTTGTTCTTGGTAGTTTATAGTTAAGGGTACCTCAAGCAAAGCTTCACTTGGGCCTAACACATTTGCCTTTGATCCCATGGTCAAAGACAAGTGGTTGTGTTTAGGATGGTGAAAATAGCGACCTTGAGACTCTTGTGTTGACCAAACAATCATCATGTGGTTTTTCGGAACCATTGTGTGCTCAAATCGTATCTAAGGTTGTTGTGGGCCCCCAACTCTATGTCTTTAGAAATCCCCTAGCTTGTGTGGTGAGAAATCGAATTGTGAGTCCAAGTCCCGAGCCATTGGTGTAGAACTTGCCCTGAATGTTTGTTGAGGCGAAATCTTGAGTGAAATTTGACTTGAGAAGTGATTATAGGCTCTCCTTGATCCAAATAACATAGTTGAACAACTTCCATAGCCTACCAATGATATGATCCCTAATTAACCCCTTTGAGCCTTAGACTTTTTCTTTCAAGAACCATGTTACAAGCCTATACCCGTTCTAAAAGATACCCTCTCTTGGCACCCGATCTTTCCTTGAGCACATGGCAAAAGTATAAGTTTGGGGGGAGAGACGAGGAGTGCAACAAAGTGGTAAAAAGGAAAAAGTGAAGAAAAGGAAAGGCAATGAAAAAGAAAGAAAATCTAAAAGATAAAAAGAAAGTACAATGTGAAAAAGAATAAAAAGGGGTTCAAGAAAAGCAGTGAAAAAGAAAGAAAGGTGTGGAAAGTTGAAAAGGGAGAAAAGGTTTTAAATGCATAATAAAGAGTGACAATGAGTCTCTCTAACCCCTTGGAAAGAGGTGAAATGACTCAAAGAGTCAAGTGAATTGTGCCAAATGAATCAAAAGAAGTGCTTAAGGGAAGATGGAACCCACTTAGGCCAAAACATTTCCTACCCTAAACCAAAAGCCTTCACAATGACTCCACAAAAGCCCTATATGATCTTAAGTTGAATGAAGCTTACATTAGTGGATACTTACATAAGGGGCAAGCATATGGTACCTAGAGCCGGACTTGTGACCTTTTCTTGAGAGAGATGAGTGAATTCCCATTAACCTCGGTTTGTGTGCCAATACTCTAAAAGGGTGAGGTTTGCTTAGGGAAGGTTGAGGATGTATGAGTTTGGGTTCCACAATGGCCAAAGTAATTGAAAGAGTTCTTTGATGTATTGAGTCAACTCTTGATGCTCTTGTGTCACACTTGATCCATGGTTTTCCAAAGGTCAAGTGTTGTTAATGATGCATTCGTATTGAGGGCAATTGTTAGTCCCAATTGATGCTTGTTGAGGTTACTTTAGGATAGCTGGAAATTCTTGGATGTTACCTTAAGGGATTGGTCTTATTTTGTTTGCTTGAGGACAAGCAAAGGCTTAAGTTTGGGGGAGTTGATAAGTAGGGATTTTAACGTGTTTTATGCTCCTACTTACCTATGCTTTGAATATAAATTGTTACAAAATAGTCCCAAAAGGACTCATAAGTTGTGCTTGATTGCAGGTTTAATCGACAAAGTGACGAAATGTCTAGGATCGACTCTAAAGGAGTGAAACCTGCTCAAGTATCAAAGACCAAGTAAACTGAGGGCAAACAAGCCTAGTGCGGACTGCACAAAGTCGAATGCTGCCGCACTAGATGGTTCAGAGAGTTGGCAAAACCAGGCTTCAACCAATGCGGCCGCTGTACAT